AAATGTATCCAAGCAGCGAACATAAATCCTGAAGTTTAGAAACTGCTAGAGGGAAGATAAAGGGAAGACACTGAACATAGGCAAGTACTTTCAGAAAATTCATCCAAGAAGACAAATCACACTCCCCCAAACTGACAAATATGATTGCATAAACTTGAGAAGATTCTGTTCACCAAAGAAAACCATTAGTAAAGTGAGGAGACAGCCTACCAAATGAGAAAAAAAATGCTTCCCAACAGTGTTAAGACAGGAAATTAGCATTCAGAATTGAAAAGAACTATAAATATCAAATACCAAAAAACAAATGACAAGTTCACCAACCAAGCCCTTAGGTGCTGATGGCTATCTTACTCTGGAAGGGTCTGTCCTTCTGTGGGAAGACTGACAATCATCAGCTGGTCCTTGAGGTTTGCGGTCCTGTACTAGGAAGCATGGAGAATTGGGACTGTGCTGTGGGCAAACATTAGGGGCAATCAGCAGGATCTGAACTTGCTAACAATGGCTCCATCACTAAGACACTTACTTATCTTTTACACACACTGAACATATGCAAATGAACCTTACTCCAGCATATTTACTCATTTTGATCATTTTTCTAACTCTAGCAAAATGTAAACATATAATAACTCCATTATAAATAAGCTTGCATAACAAACATGTAGGCATGTGATTATACATATCAGCTCCTAGCATCTCAGGAATCAAATCATTAACCTCAGGCTAAAGAAACAGCTCAATTGGTAAAGAGATGGCCTTAAAAGTACAACAACCTGTGTTTGGTCTCCAGAACCCACATATGGAAGTAGGGCATGATGGCACACACTTCTAAGCTCAACGCAGAAGAAGCAGAAACAAGCAGGGTCCTGCTGCTTGCTTAACCTGGCTTAACCTAATTGGTGATCTCCAGTCCAATGAGAGACTGTCTCAGGAAACATGGTGGCTGGTTCCTGAGGAACAACAAGCGTGTGAGGTTGACTTCCAGCCTCCGTATTCACATGTGTTGGCATATATGTGCACCCAAATGAACATGTACACACACACACACACACACACACACACACACACGCACACGCACACGCACACACACGCACACACACGCACACGCACATGCACACAATGCTAAATACTTTGGTAAATTAATTATGCATTAATAAAATGTTGAGATATTAGAAGAAATTCTTTATTTTAACAGAATCATATATATAGAACATCTCATATACAATATAATATATCTCATATATATATATATATTCCTCTTAAAACATATATGCTATGTAACTCATAAGAATACGGCAGAGGCAGTAGAGGTACAGGGAGGCATTTTTCAGGACACACTCCAGTTCAGCTATTATTAAAGCTGTAAATTCAGAAGGAGAAACTTGTAGCCACCAAAATTTTCAGAGCACCAGCCTCTAGACTAGGAAGGACTCCGTATACCTTCAGTATTTATAGAAATCTGAGATGCTTCATTTTTCTTTCATATTTGAGTTAGATTTTTATCCTGCAGATTCATGTCTGTCTTGTGCAGGGAACTTAGAGTATTACAGAAAAAAAATACTTTACAAAGAGTGCTACACAATATTACTGGCTGTCTCTCAGAAGATTGAAATATCCATTTAAGAGACAGTATAATCAGCCCTAAAGGATGCCTAGCTCAGGGCACATGGGTCACACAGGTCAGCACCAATAAGAATGCAAAATCTCAGACAGTTCTGCCTCTTGCCAGTCCTGTGACTTCCAGTGCCTGCTCTTCTTCATGACTTATTTCCTAGTCTTTCTAATGGGAAATTGTAACTAAAGTTAACTGAACATAACAGCAAATGGCTGTTAAAATTATGTTTATTTAGGGGCATTAGTGTTATTTTTATAAAGTTGACTCAAGGAACTGACATGCCAACTGACGAACATGTCTTCAGTCTGTATATTAAAACAAACCCAGGAAATAAGGTGTTGAATATTTCCCTTACCATTTTTAGGGATACATCTCCCCTCCACATATGCAGGGAAGACTGACAGAAAGTGTCTTAGACTCTCCACACCAGGCTAGGGCCTACCTGTTGCTGGGAACTGCTAGTCTCTCCTCTTTATCTGGAACCACATCCTGTAAAATTAAATCCAGCTGCTATTTTCACCCATAGTTCTTTTGAATACCAGGAGATACCAAATACTCGCTAGACAGGTACATGTTCAGACAGAGAAAGCCCTAGATTATTGGGGGGGTTCATAGATCTGATTTTAGTGTAAACAGATGGTGGAACACTTATAGCAACAGTAAAAAAAAAATACAAAAGCAAAGAGTTGGTGAAGTTGCCTGGTGGGTACACTTGGGGACTCATGCTTAGATGTCAACTCAGAACAGAAGGATGAGGACCCCAAAGCTCACAAAGAGAGAGGTCAACCAAGGAGATGAGATATCTCTTTTTAGATATCATGTGTGCACTTAGTGTGGGTGACCTCATTAACAAAGAAGAGCTGGTTAGTGAAGAACATGTCAATAGGTGGAGTCAGGTTGGAGTAGACAATCAGGGTGAAGAAGACAACCGAGCAGATTGTCTCCATCATCTCACAGGGATCTGTAGCAAGCTTGGTTGTCAGTTGCCAGCTCACAAACAATGACACAGAGACTTCTTATTAGTTATGAAAGCTTGGCCTTAGCTTAGGCTTGTCCCACTAGCTCTTATAACTTAAATTAACCAATTTATGTTAATCTACATTTTGCCTCATGGCTTTTTACCTTTCTTTCATTCGGTATGTCTGACTCCCTCCATGTCTTGTTGGCATCTCCCACATTCCTAGATTCATCTCTTTCCTTTCTCTCTTCCTGGAAGTTCTGCCTATACCTCCTGCCTAGCGATTGGACATTCACTTCTTTATTAAACCAATCACAGTACAAATATCCCACAATAGGGATCCCTGGAGCGTGGACTGTTGTGCTCCATGTAGAATGTATGGATATTGATAGATTCTTTGGATTTGTCTGCTTCTGTTAGCCACCATTCTCTAGGTATCACAGTATTTTTAGCTTCATTCTGGGTCTTTCTGCCAAACAAGAAACCAAAGTGTTTTAGGATGAAGTTGAGAAAACTATGAATGGCCATGAATAATCATGGCTTCTTGCTAGAGAGAGATCACACTATTAGGACGTCTGCATGGAGGCAATGCTTTTGGTAACTACTCTATTGTAGTTTGGATATGAAATGCTCTATAAAAGCTCATGTTTTAAAAGGCTTGAGTCCCAGCCACTGGTGACATTGAGAAGTGATTGACTTACAGGGGTACTGTCCATCAATTTGTTAATGCCTTGAGTTGTAGTTGAATGGGCTACTAGAGGGTGCAGGTGTATTGAGTCACTGGTTTTTTTTTTATGAAAGTATACCCTTATCACAGGCCAGAGTAAACATTTTCAGTTCCTTACCCCCTCAGGTATTTAATCATGGTGACAGACGTGACCAGCTCATACACCTTGGAAGAATTGGGTCCATTCAGGTCTCCATCACTAATGCAGGTGTTGTGGGGAAGGGTGACCATGGCCCATGGCACAGAGCTCTTCTGAGAGCAGGTCGGGACTATAAGACACACTGTAACGGAAAGGACTTTCTCCCTGATCTCTTGTTCCTTTATGTCTGTGAACTTCAGACTTATACACAAGATGCATATGAGAAAGAAAGGCTGACTGAAAGTTGATGTTTTTGGGTAGACAGCATCTTTAGACAGGACTTTTGTTGTTGTTGAGTCAGGGTCTCACTATGTTGCCCTGGAACACACTATGAAGAGCAGGCTGACCTCAAATTTACAGAGATTTTCCTGTCTCTGCCTCCCAGTTACTAGGAGTAAAGGCATCCATAAGAATGCCCAAGAAGGGGGCACCCAGGCAGGGAGATCCGGATCTGTCCCTGGTGCATGGGCAGGCTTCTGGAACCCAGTGCCTGTGGTGTGACACCTTGCACAGCCTTGGTGCAGTGGGGAGGGGCTTGGACCTGCCTAAGCTCAGTGTGCCTGGCTCTGCTGACTCCCTATGGAAGACCTTGATTTGGGGGATGTGGGGATGTGGGGTGGCTTGGGAAAGAGGGCTGGGGGTGGGAGGAGGGAGGAGGGGGCAGTCTGTGGATAGCATGTGGAATGAGTAGAAAATTTCTTAATAAAGAAAATGAAAAACAAAAAAAAATTCTAAAAAAAAAAATGCCCAGGAAGACTGACCTTTATGGAAAGTGGAGCTTGGATTTCTTTGCTAAAGGCATGGCCATTCACTGTGTGTTTCTTGGAACTAACAGCCCAGTCTTCATATGCATCTTTGCTTATGAGTAGATTCTGGACACCGTTTTATTCACATACCATGTATAGTATGGACTCAGTCTTTGCACGATCCTTATAGTTACAAAGGGGCTTGATATAAAGCTCCAGTTCCTCCGGACCTATACACATTCGTGGAAGTCTTAGGATGACCTCCACAGTACCTCTTTTGTGGGGATTGAGGATCAGTTTCCATATAAAGTTATAACATTCTGGTAGCATAAAATAGACTGCCCCTTAGCACCAATTTCAGCAAATCTTTGGATTCTACTTTCACAAAAGTCAAGCATATGGTAACCATCACAAAGAGCATGACCCTTGGATCCACACATCCTTCATGGGACATCATGCCTCAGGACCCAGAAGAGTTTAAGGCCAGCATAAGAAGTCAGCTATACAAAGTATTCAGTTTGAGTCCAAAGATAAACTTTGTTGTGAACCCAGAGTTTACATTAATTAGAAAAAAACCTGGGGTTAAGAGGTGGAACCAACAACTTGTTGATAGAGAGTAATCACAGAGAGTCATAGGGTGTCTATAAGACTATAGAGGGATGCACAGTGGGGAGGGACTGTGAGTCTTTTTTGGTTTGGATGTTCAGGAACTCAGACCGCGCCAGGTGCTCCCGCCAGTGTCCACGAGGGGACGCTGCAGGCGGCGGAGTCAGAGAGGCAACCGGAAGTCAGGCTGGCGGCTACAGGCGCCTTCCGACTCCTCCTGCTTCCGCTGGTGGTGCCGGACGGCGGGCGCTCCGTTCCTGCGTTGGCTCCTCGGTCGTCGCCATGCCGCTGGAAAACCTGGAGGAAGAGGGTCTGCCCAAGAACCCCGACCTGCGCATCGCGCAGCTGCGTTTCCTGCTCAGCCTGCCCGAGCACCGCGGGAACGCGGCGGTGCGCGAGGAGCTGATGGCGGCCGTCCGGGAAAACAGTGAGGCCCGGGAGCGCCGAGTCAGCGGCCTAGGCCGGGGCGGTCCGGGGGGCCTGGCTGGGCGTCTCCCGCTGGGGCTTTTCGGGGAACCCTGGGGCGCCCTCCTAGTGCCGAGGGGGCCCTGCCTCAGTGGTTCGTTCCTGCTGCGGGCTGCTCAGGGCAAGCCTCGGGTGCTTGTCGAGGTTAGGCTCCCAGCAAAGGCTGCGCGGGTTTTGTTTGACAGTTTGTCAGTGTTGCGCTCCCTGTCAAGGGACAAGTGGGGTCTGTCCCTAGCAGTACGTGTCGAATATGTGTGCTGTCCCTGACATAGGGACTCCTTTGGAACAGGAGCTGGATAGAGCGTGCTTAGGAGCGATCGGCCTTCAAGCAGGCCTCTCACTTGCAAAGCCTTAGCAGTGCTATGCCAGGCCCACAGTTGGTAGGCGTCTGCTGGCTGACCTTTGGTGGGATGGGAGGAAGCAGGCGGGCACTCATATGCGGCCTCACGATGCACGATTTGTGGCTTTTAGATATGGCTCCTTATTATGAGGCCTTGTGCAAATCCCTGGACTGGCAGGTGGACGGGGATCTCCTCAGTAAAATGAAGAAGGCAAATGAAGAGGAGTTGAAACGCTTGGATGAGGAGCTGGAGGATGCAGAGAAGAATCTGGGAGAGAGTGAAATTCGAGACGCAATGATGGCCAAAGCGGAGTACCTCTGTCAGATAGGGGACAAGGTCAGTCTCTGGAGGTATAGACTGATGTTGGGGACCAGCGCAGATGGGTAATAGTTCACTGAATAAATGAACTTTTTTGTTGTTTTTTCAAGACAGGGTTTGTCTGTGTAGCTCTGGCTGTGCTGGAACTCACTCTGTAGACCAGGCTGGCCATGAACTGACAGAGATCTGCCTGCCTCTGCCTCCTGGGTGCTTAAAGGAGTGGGCCACCACCGCCTGGCAACTCTTTTTAAAAGGATAATCCTGTTTGCCTTTACTAAAGAGTCAGTATAAAGACAGTAAATACATGATAACGTTGCAACACCCGATTCCCTGCAACCACCAGTAGCCAGGTGTACATTACTTCTCATTTCTGTGTCGTTAAAAACAGGTGCACATGGGGCTGGAGCTGTGGCTCCGTGGTTTAAGAGTGTGTACTGTCTGGCAGAGGACATGAGTTTAGTTCCTAGCACCCACATCAAGAGGGTCGCAGCTCCAGCTCCAAGGGATCTGATGCCTTTAGCCTCCGAGGGCACCTGCACTCGTGTGCACACACCCCCAGACAGACAGAAACAAGACTTGAAAATAATAAAAATAAATCTCCAAAACAAAACAAGTGCACAGCTAGAGGTTTTGGTCACTCCTTTTACAGCATTGGGGTCATTAGCAGTAGTTCACTTGTTTGGTTGGGAAGCATTTTATCGTATATTTTAAAAGGTGTACAGTAGGGGAATGGAGAGATGGCTCAGGTTGAGAGCATCGGTTGCTCTCACAGACAACCTAGGTTTGATTCCCAGCATCCACAGGACAGCTTGCAGCCCACTTGACTTCCAGTTCAGGAAACCCCACACCATCCTCTGAACACCGCTGGCATCAACCAGGCAAGCACATAGTGTACAGATATGCGCCGGGCGGTGGTGGCGCACGCCTTTAATCCCAGCACTCGGGAGGCAGAGGCAGGCGGATCTCTGTGAGTTCGAGGCCAGCCTGGGCTACCAAGTGAGTTCCAGGAAAGGCGCAAAGCTACACAGAGAAACCTTGTCTCGAAAAACCAAAAAAAAAAAAAAAACAAAAAACAGATATGCATATAGGCAAAACACTCATACACATAAATCTAAAAACTTCACTGATTTTTTCCATCCGAGGATCTATGACAATAGATGCTGCAGTCTGACTTTTTCTTCTTCTATACCTTGAGAGAGAAGCTCGCTCAGTGTGCAGTTATTCACATGTGTATGCATGTCTTGTAGAAAGTGAGGAGTAAACACTTTTATGTCCTTGAGACCACAGTTTGTTCCAGGAGCCCTCTTCATCCTTTCATCTATGACTGCATTTGAGAGAACTTTGTTAACCTTCTGGTTCACTGCCGCCTCACCCACTGTGGAGCAGGTCGTCTGTTGTTACAGGACACACACACACACTTTCAGTTGCCTTTGCTTTAAGCAGCTGTAAAAGCTGATTATCTTAAACAGGTTGCTGTAGTGAACAACGTGTTCACATGTTTTCTCGTGATTAAAGGCTAGTGTTGCTTTAGGATGCTGATTAGTCAGTGAGGAGAAATTGCTGGCATAGTGAGCATTTATTTTCCTATGTTTGGCCAGTTAGTCTACATAATCCTAGTGTTGGATCCACTCTTTAGTATTTAGATGTAGAGTGACATGGTTCCAATATTTAAAATAGTGTGAGTTCTTGGATAAGTTTTCTTGGGCTGTGTTTCTAGCTTGAGTATCATTATTTACTGCACCTTCGGTTTTCTTGGGTAAAATAGGATGTCTTTCTGCCTAATGCTGATTAAAGAGAGAGGCAGAGAGTTTAGAATTGCACTTGCTCAAAGGAAGGGCTTAAATTAGAAGCTATTGAATTTAAATTGAAAACATCTGTTTTTTAAGTTTAGTACTTGTTCATTTTAAAAACTTGGAAATATAGACAAAATTAAAAACATTGTGTGGTTTTATTTCAAAGATTAATCAGTATTATATGTGAATGAGAGATTTGAAGGTTTTGACTCAGGTCTTGAATTTAATCAAGATTATGGGTGAGGCAGCATCAGGCGATTATGATTGTATACTGATGCTATATTCCTTCCATGTTGATGATTCAGCAGCATCCTGAATAGGATAGAATAGAAAGGTCAGTTTCTATTTTGACTTTAAATGTTGAATGGCTGCAGTGGCGTTTCTTGTTTATCACCCGTGGTTTTTATGGTGCTGAGTTTGTTGCAGATGTGTCAGTGGAGTCCCTTTAGCACAGTCCCCTTGTCCTTTTAACGCCATCTTCTCATGCTCACCTTTCTCTTTGATATGAGGTGGCATAAACTCACTGCTATTTTAATTCACTCTGCAAACTTGCAGTTGTTTCTCCCCAAATCCTGTTTCCTAGTGAGGAACAGAATTACCTATCCAGGTCTGGGTACTAGGTACAATGCTGCTGTTCTGACAGTCCCTTTTATACATTTATAAAGCATGACTAATAACTGAAACAGACTAGCTAGTCACGCTCTGAAAAACACCAGGTATAAACATCTGATTTTATCAGTGTTTTTGTAAAGAGCAGGAACATTTTATTTCAGTTGAGATGAACTTGCATATGCATGGATGCAATGGTATTTAATATAATCAGTGATATGTCTCTTCTTATAATGATTAATAATTTATAGTGAACTTATTTTGAAGTAGTGTAATTGTTAAAGGCAGAAACACAACAGTACCATTGTGTATACCCAGTGCTTTTCATGTCATTCTCAGAGTGAAGTAGCCCCTGGGCATTGTCTATACTTTGTACAGCTGAAGGAACCCCCTGGTCCTTCCTTCAAGTACAGCAGTGACGCTTTCACTACCGTGTTATTTCACCTCTGCTTCCTAGTTTACCCAGCCACTCTTGCAGGAAAATCCGGGAAGCTGATGGCATTGCTAAATTGTGTACTTTTCTCCCCTTTGGTCTTGAATTTGACAGGAGGGAGCTCTGACAGCCTTTCGCAAGACATATGATAAGACTGTGGCCCTGGGTCACCGACTAGATATTGTATTTTATCTCCTAAGGATCGGCCTCTTTTATATGGATAATGACCTCATCACTCGAAACACAGAAAAGGCCAAAAGGTACTTTTAGCAGTGGGTATGACCTGGAGGTAATGGGCTGTTAAAAAGTCAGTAGGCCTAAGCTTACCCATTTTGTTTTGTTTACAGTTATGGAGTTTGGTCAAATAGTTGACATTTATGGAAATACTTCAATTAAAATTTTTTTCTTTAAAACAAAAGCTTTAAGAATTAACATTATCTGTTTCATTTGTGTTATTTGCTAGCCTAATAGAAGAAGGTGGAGACTGGGACAGGAGAAATAGGCTGAAAGTGTACCAAGGTCTATACTGTGTGGCTATCCGTGACTTCAAACAGGCTGCAGAGCTCTTTCTTGATACGGTTTCTACATTTACATCCTATGAGCTCATGGACTATAAGACATTTGTGACTTACACTGTTTACGTCAGTATGATTGCGTTAGAAAGACCAGATCTCAGGGAAAAGGTAAAGAATGAAACCATAATACCTATAAACACTGTTTCATGCTTTCCTAATTTAAAAACACAGAAATCATTAAAATGTGTTTATTGGTTTTATCTTTTGCTTTTTTTTTAATACCCAGGTCATTAAAGGAGCAGAGATTCTTGAAGTGTTACACAGTCTTCCGGCAGTTCGGCAGTATCTGTTTTCTCTCTATGAATGCCGTTACTCAGTTTTCTTTCAATCATTAGGTAAGGATTGATTATCGTCTTTATCTTCTGATCCTGTGGGTAAATAAGCAAAGCTGCATTTTTCACATCTAAGAGATAACTGCAGGTCTTCTCATTTTCTGCCTCTTTTGCTTAGAGGAATGTCAGCAAACTTGATGTGTATTTATGTATCTCCAAATGTAAGAACGATTGTGTGTGTGTGTTGTGTGCACATTTATGCCAAGTGCCATGTACGAAAGTCAAGACAACTTTCAGGAGTTGCTTCCCTTCCACTGTGTGGGTCCTGGGCATTGAACTCAGGTCATGAGGCTTGGTGGTAGATGTCTTTACCTGCTACACTAGCTCACTGGTCTGATTTTTGGGTTTTTAAAGTGGCATTTAAAACAATCGAAAAAGAATGCATGACAAAGAGCTATGTGTTTGGCAAAGCCCAAAACTGTTGTCTGCCCTGTGATGTGGGAGTTTGCCTGACCTGAGGTTTAGTCTTGAGGAATAAAGCGACTATGAACAGATAGTCTAGTATTGGGTGTGGTGAAGGATGGAGGGATTTGGCGTCCCTTGAGACCAAGATTAGTTGTCACTCCAGTCAAGGATTCTTTTTTCCATTTTTAAATAATAGCTAGGTCTGTGGATTGAAAGCATCATCTGTGGACAATTCTTATGTTTCTTCCCAGCTCATTTACAGAGCCCCGTGGACACCAGTTTGCTTCTTTTGGGGACTGTACTCCCTCCTGGCCATTTGGTTTGCTACTGGTGACTAAATTACTAAGATGATAAAGGCATCCTCCTCAAATGCTTTCCCTGAAACTGTTCATGACAAATGCTGCTGCTGTTTTATAGGGAAGTGTGTTCTTTCTAGTGCAACTAAATTGATGACTTTGGTAAGCTTTTGGATGTTAGGGCATCAGTCTTTCCCACTCACTCTGTTCTTCACCTTTTATTCAAGTAGTTCTGAATGAAAGATTTTAGGTTTAATAAATTTGTACACTTCCCAGGTGTATTAAATGCAGAAAACAATAAAGTTCTTATTTTTCATTTGCACTCATGAACCATGTAAAGCTTGTTGAGTTTTGTGAGATTAATTCTTAAATAATCATAGACTAGTGTGTTTACACTTCAGCTGCAAAGGCAGGGAGTGTGCTTTTGAGATCCCGTAGACGTAAGTGACTCTCATGGACCGAGTGCAGAGTGTTCAACTGACTGGAGTTCTTTAGAGCTCCTCCCTGAGCATGCCATGTGCCTCGGTTTACTGTCTGATAGACAGTTCTGAGGTCAGCTTAGCCTGTCAAGTCGTCTGGTTTTGAACATGCAGCTAGCACTGCCGTTCCACTTCTTAGGTGGAGTCGAAGAAATCAAGTGAGTGTTAATTTAACACCTGGGCCATGCTGCCTGCCCCTAGAAAATTGGTGCCACTTTGTGAGCATAGCATTTATACTTCTCTCATTTTATAGTATTTGAAAGAACCCATCTCCACATTTTAATAAAATTTTAGGCAACTTGAGAGAAAAAAAGGAATTTTATTGGTCCTACGTATCCGTATCTTACTGTTGGTGAGAGTGTACCACCATCTTAGTGCTGCTCCTTGTCATCATCCTGTCTTACTGGACAGAGGACCATCCTTCAGTTTTCAGTTTTGTTCACTTGGTTAACATACTCTTTTCTTTGGACCTTCCTTTCAGTGACTGACTGCTTTTGTTGCCCCTGCCTTGCCTCTGTCCTCTTTTAGAAACTATAGCTGGATGGCTGTGTGCCCCAGATTCCTGGTTCTAGTCCTCAGCCTTCATCAAATACTAGACCCATGCCTGACCCCTCCTTCATATCTTTAAAGGCTTGTCTGATGGGCACATCCACTTGAACAGTGCCACAGTATATTTGAACCTCATTCTTTACCCTCTAAAAAACATTAACTGCCAAACAGACTACACCCGAAATTGTTGCTTTTCCTGGGATTTTCAACTTGTTCACACCAAATTCCCTTATTCACCTTGTCTCTACCCTCTTACATTTTTGCAGTCTTTTTTTTTTTTTTTTTTTTTTTTTTTTAATTTCTGAACTTAGTCACACCTTTCCTGCCTTTGGACTAATGGTTACTAACGCTGCTAATAATGGTCTCTACTAAGTTTCTCAGTTCTTACCTGTCTATTGCCCCAGACGAGGGCTTTGTAATCCTGCAGCCACTGCCATTTTCTTTATATGACTTACTAATTTTGTGTCATCACTGGGGATCCAGAGCAGAAGGATTTTAGTAAGGTAATTTATATTCCTGAGGCTTGCCCATTAGTATCCCGTGTATACTTAACAAAATTTCAGTTTTGTTGTTAACTTACTCTGTTACATAAGCCTTCTAATTTATAATTTGTCCTCAAACTCTACATTTCTTATAATAGGTTTCATCACTATAGTTTTGTGACTTCATAAAAATGTCTTTTTGGTTTTTGTCTTTCATTTTTTACTGTCCCTGCTGTTTCTGTTATAATTATACATGAAACTACTGAATTTTGCTTGAATACATAAAAAAGTTCCCCAATGGGTATGCCATAATCTGGTGATAGTTCAGTGGGTATGTCTTCGGTGCTGCCCATCCATTGTTGGATGGTGTGAAAGGACAGTGATACATACTGGACTCAGAGCTATTAAACTTCCAATTTCTTAGGTGAGACTTGTAATTTGTCATCTTATTTCTTGTAGCGATCGTGGAACAGGAAATGAAAAAGGATTGGCTTTTTGCGCCTCATTACCGATACTACGTAAGGGAAATGAGAATTCATGCATACAGCCAGCTGCTGGAATCATATAGGTCTTTAACCCTTGGCTATATGGCAGAAGCATTTGGTGTGGGTGTGGAATTCATTGACCAGTAAGTTTAACATGTTTATGCATAAAAGCTGCCTTTTAATGTGTGGTTTTCTACATTTTCTGAATTTGTACTGCTTCTCTCAGTTTTATGGAAGAAAACAGAGTGAAGACTTTCTGAAGTATTTTAACAGTGGCATGTGTCCATGTCCTTGGGATATAGTTTCTAGTGAGATGAGAGAAGCAAGGCATGGAAAGTGCTATGAGTAATTTCACAGTTTTCCCAGGGTTGCAGAGGATCACACTGCACTGTGCTCACAGTGCTGCCCAGATCTTGTTTTGTATTTTGTATTTAGTGGCATTTCCTCTGATAATGTTGGAGTTAGGTTGTTGACAAAATGTGGGACTGGAATCATTGATTCATCAAATACTGAGCTGTTCATGTTTGGTGCTGTTGTAGATCTCTTAATAATGCACCTTCATTCAAGTAAACAAATCAGTACTGGAGTGTAGCTAGCACAGCGGAACTGTCTGCTTCAGATATGACATGCCTAAAGAGAGAAAGTCTGCTCTGACTTGAGAAATGTCAGCCATATGAAGATCTCCACATGTAGAAAAGGAAAAAGAACAAACACAGCTTACAGATGGGAGTAAGTTGTACCATAGTTGTGGAATAGCAATCGACTGTGGTCTTACAGTTTAAGGTATAGAGCTTAGATTTTTGAATCTGTGCTATGGGATACCATAGGAGGGTTTTTACATGAGAGCAACATGGTTCCATCCTTTATCTTCAAACAGTGAGGGGACCTAGAGAGCAACTGGCTATCAAATAGCACACAGAAAATGTTAGTGTGGTTTAAGATGTGCTAGGTGTTGATGTTGATTGTTCATAGTCTACAATGAAAAAGTGATAGCACTTTTCATTTAAACCTCACTATTCTCTTGTGTGGCATACATTTTTAAATTATAGTTTAAGAAAATTAAATTCTAAATAGTACAGTGAATTTTCTCTTGTTACACTTTCTGAACCCAAATAACTTCCAGGCAAATTTCAGACGTCAACAGATGTTTCTAAGATATTACTACGCCTTCTTTGGGGTAAAGTCTGTCTTCAGCGAGATGTGTAGATCTTAAATAACTCAAAGCCCCTGTGGAGTGCTTCACTCATTTTAGCTTTTCAGATCTCCCTCACCAGCATAAAGGGCGGTTGCCCACATTTTTCTTTTTCTTTTTTTTTTCCACTTCTGAAAGAACCTGCTCTGATGTCCAGGTGTGACTGCCACTGCAGGCTGTCAGGTGTGTGTCTCATGGCTGGTGGAAGGAGTGGCTTGTGAAAGGTTCATGAACCAAGGACTAGACCTGCCTTCTGATTTTACTCTGCAACTAAACTACTGTGGCCTTGGTCAGTTTTTCTTTCTTCCTGTCTTTGGCGGGTCAGTCTTGTTCTGTAGTCCTGGCTAGCGAGGGACTCATGAGAGCAGCTATCCTGCTGCCGTATCCTGAAAGCTGAGGTTACACTGTCTCCCCCTTTCGTGTCTTTAAAGCCTTCTCTAGGAATAAGGGGACAGTATGACCCTCAACCCAGATGCTTACAGGTGACACACTGAAGTGACCATGCTTTAAGAGCTGCTGTCGGATTCTTTAAATTGTGTTGAGAAGTGGGGGCAAAGCAGGCTGTTTTTCATTTGTGTTCTCAGCATAACCTGGATTTTTGGGGAAGGAATAAGCTGCTTTTCCAGTACAGGCAGCTGTTGCATTTCGGGCCAGGGTTTGCTGGTTCTGTAAGTTGATTCCTGTCTGAAGTTTTGTTCTGAGCACTCCACCTTGTGGTATTTTATTCTAGTGATGATTCAAGTCCGCAACAAGTCGGGGATGTCGCTGCTGTTACGCGGCAGTTGAAGCTGGAGGAAAGTGAGATCTTGCCTGTAAGACAGAGTTCAGTTCTTCTGACTCTTCTTGGAAACTAATGGGGAATTGCTTTTCTTTTTCTGAATCAGGGAACTGTCCAGGTTTATTGCTGCTGGAAGACTACACTGCAAAATTGATAAAGTAAATGAAATAGTAGAAACCAACAGGTATTCTTGTTTCCATCATTTCCTATTGCTGAGACTGGGGGAGTTTAAGTGCCTGTGTATACAAGTAGGTAGCTCTTGTCATGGAGTCATGTGGCTGCTAACTAATTCATTTTTTCCCTTAACTTTATTTATAGACCGGATAGCAAGAACTGGCAATACCAAGAAACCATCAAGAAAGGAGACTTGCTGCTAAACAGGGTTCAGAAATTGTCCAGAGTAATTAACATGTAAAACTATTTAAAAATGTATTCCCTTACAGATGTTACTTGAAGCTTTCAAAAATTTCTTCACTTTGTGCCCACTTCAACAGCATCAAATAAATATGCCATTGTTTCTTTAATTTTTGTTTTCTTAAACATACATGTCTTTAGTACTGGGTCCACTTATGCCATCTGAATTATTAATAAAAAGTGTTCTTAGACTTTTGCCTACCACAATAGAAAGGCTATAGTCAGACTTACTCGATACAACTCTGCCTTATTAGTAAATTAGGAGGTAACACAAGCCCATTATCTCTTGGTTTTAGATACTTTTAACCCACAACTCACCAGTAATTCCCACTTAGAATATAAAATGGAAATTTCTCTTGACACAGTCTTGTTTTAAAAAAGTGGTGCCCCTCTCTAAGAAGCTGGCATGAACTTGATTCTAGAATATGACTTACCTGAACAGATAAAGTCCTGTAGAAATATTAGCAAAATGAATCTTTTTTTTTTTTTTTTAAATAGCACAGTGAGCGTGAAGTAATCAAAATTGTGCCTTATCTTCTAAGATACGAAAGCACATAAAGGGGATACAGGTTGTGAAGCGAGCTCTCTTCTGTGCATTACTTGAGTGTAAGAACATGCAAATTGCTGCCTGCCTAAGGGAGTGGGGAGACAGTGGGGACACTGGACAAAGGGTGACCAGGTTGGACTGAGTGTTTTGCTCTGTCACTACATTCAGTTGGGAGTACTCACCAGGTAGAGGCAGCAAGATTAGTAAAGGTAGAGTAAGGCAGGGGACGGGTATAATGGGCCAAAGGAGATCCCTTAAGTTAACGATGAATGTCACCCTAAAGAGTCTTGATGGAGGCCAATTATGAGTTTTACCATAAAAGGCAAGGGAGGAAGAGGGAGAGAAGAGGTTTCTGGTGCTTTAAGAACACATTCATTCATAGGAATGACCAATTAATGTATTAATGAAGATACAACATCTCACCCGACTGAAAATAAAATTCAGCATTTCTCCATTAAAAAAAAAAAAAACTCGACAGGAATTAATGAGATGAGAAATCAGAGACCCACATTGTAAAAGAGATACTCCATGCCAAAATGTTAGAAGCATGATCTTCAAAGTCAAGACCATGTCCTCAGAAGGAATGGCCACTGATATGAAGTAAGGGTAACATGGCCAGAGTTGTACTTAAAAGGAGTTCTTGGAGGTGCTGTGGTGGGCAGGAAGGAGGCTTGATGGATATGCCTAAAGTATTTAAAAATACCAAGTCAAGGATTTCTAAAAGTGTTTATCTTGATAACTTTGATAAATTGCTTATTAGACTTTTTGTCAAGATTAAGTATAAAATCTGTTTAGAAATGAAAGAATTGAGTTGCTGAGTGCAGTTTCTGTAAGAACTTACTCTGTTCCTCAGCCCTAAATGGGATGTCTCCAATAATTCCCTCCCTGCCCAGGGAACTCCTTGGGAAAGCAGGCAATGTATGAGCCAGAGGGGATGGAGAACACCAAGAAAACAAGGCCCTCTGAATCAACACAATTAAAGCTCATGAAGTCACAGAGAGACAGCATGCTCAGGGCTTGCACAGGTCCTCTGCATGTACATTATGGTTTCCAGTTTAGTGTTTTTATGGAATTCATGAGCATGCAGTGGGTCTCTGATTCTTGTGCCTTCTTGGGCTTTTTTTCTTCTGTTGTTTTGTCCAATTCTGATGTGTGTGTTTTGTTCTGTCTTACATTTTGTTATCCCTTAGAAACCTGTTTTCTAATGAGAGACAAAGGCAGTGATCAGGGAGGAGGGGAGAAGAGGTAGGGGAAACCCTAGTGAAGATGTATTAGGTGAGGAGAAAAAAAAAATGTATATCCAGGAAAAGGAAAAAGAGAACGTACCAGGTTCTTTTAAAATTAGTATAATTTTTTTTTTTTTTTTTAAAGTCACGTTTTCCAGCTTGCGTGTGAAATCAGCTTGGCCTGTTGTGGTCACAATTGGCTTTCAAGGTCAGACAATGCCCTGCCCACATTGTTCTTACTTAAAATGTGCTCAGTTTTACTTTTACCCAGTAGCAGCAGAAATAATCCAACCTTCAGGGGAAGAAGTCAGTGCTTTTCTTTTTTTTTCATAAAAAGTAATAAATGTTCATTGAGAAAGAAATCCAAGCACTTAAAAGTAGAACTACTTGGGCTGGAGAGATGGCTCAGAGGTTAAGAGCACAGGCTGCACTTTCAGAGATCCTGAGTTCAATTCCCAGCACCCACATGGTGGCTCACAACCATCTATAATGAGAGCTGATGCCCTCTTCTGGCATGAGGGCATACATGCAGGCAGAACACTGTATACTTAATAAATAAATAAATCTTAAAAAAAAAAGTTCAAGGACATTGTTAGTTACACAGGAAGTTTGAGGCCTATCTGGGCTTCATGATTTAAAAAAAAAAAAAAGAACTACTTTAAAATTATCTTCTGAATAGAACAATGTAGGAATAGTTCTCTGTAAAATAACAACATTGTGATTATTTTGTGTTCACAATCTGCATATAACATTTATAATACAAAATTGGAGGCCTTATTATATAGTTTAATTATTCCAAGTAAACCCTCCAAGTGTCAGCTTAGAACTGAAAATAAAACAAGAACTCAACATTTTTTCTTTAAAGATTTTTATTCATGTGTATGGATGTATGCACATCTGTGGAATGTATGCCATGTGTATGTGGGTTGTATTCAGGAGGCCAGTAGTAACTCTTGGATTCCCCTGGAATTGGAGTTAGAGGAAGTTGTAAGTTCTGGGAACCAAACTTGGGTCCTCTCAATAGTAAATGCTATTATCCTTGACAGAGCCATCTAGCTCCCAACATCTCTGAAATATGGCTATAAGATGTGGGAGAAACTGCTCCCTGTGTACTGTCAATCTATACCCAGAAAAATCACTGTGATTCTATTTCGGCATCTATAGAAAGTGGGCTATAATCATGTTCCTCCTGAGGTTTATTTTACACTCAAACCTCAAAGTCGGATACTTATAGAACCATGCTTCTGTGAAGAATGTTAACGGAGGTCGCTGCTACACTAGCATTATTACTGAACCAAGTCATCTAGACCAATGTCATGAAACTGACTTAAAAGTTTGCAACAAATGTAAATCTGTTATTAAGATTACACAGACTGGTCATTTCCAGCTTTGATATTCTGTCTCTTGGCCTTTTGATTTTAAAACATGCCACTGAAGGGAATTTCCCAGCTCATGGCCCTATGTCCCATGGAAAACTAAAACAGAAAGCAAGGGAGGCTTCCTGATGCCACAAAGTTGCATACTGGTTACCTGTAAGTTTCACTGGGCCATTTAGATATATTCTAAGGAGAGAAAAAAAGTATGGCCACCATCTAAACACTAATAGTTTTCAGGCAACCACACCTAGTCACATTAACCTTGAACTCACAGTTCTATGTGTTCTTCATATTCAGATTCTAGATGCAAAATAATGGCCCCTTCTGGCAAATGAGTTTGTTTTCTCTGCACCTGTGAAGCTGCAAATCAGCAGCTTGTATTAGAAAAATTAGCCAAATAATTCTTAACTCTCACCTATGGTTGCTTTAATTTATAGAGTTTGCTTTTTCTATCTTACTTAAGGGTCCTTTACAGAATAGAAAAGAAGGAAAAATAAGTAAATAGTAAACTGGTGCAGAGCTAAAACAATGTAGCTCCTTTTTAATACTGGTGAATGTTGAAATATGTGGCATATCAAAGTATGGTTTTAAGAACGAAAGAATACACCACACATACTACTGCGTATTTTTCCAGGTACAGTCAGCCACTTCCTTGACACGGCTGTTTCACAGCTCCATTCAGACAGCAGCCACCCGAGTGATGCTCCTATCGCAGCTTCCTTCTCGTGCACTTCCTTCTCTGTCCCAGGTTGCACATTTCCCTTAAAGCTCATCACTTGGTAGGTTTGGCCAATCTAGAAATCCTGTGGACATGTAACTAGACCTCAAGTTCTCTGAAATTATTTCCAGAATTATTTCTCTTCCTGCCCTTGGCAGTTTAGAGACCCAGCAGCACTTACCTAGCTCACTGCAGCAGGCTTGCAGTTCACGCTGGGCCTCAGAGTCTGTCCTGTCCTGTGTGCCTCCCACCCCCAATTCTCTCTCCAGTAGTTACTGGAGTAAACTAGAAGTGATGGAGATAGTTTTAAGGCAAAAATATGAAGTGTTTGAGTGTCCTGAAAAATTCTACTTTGACTGAATCATGACACTAAGAGATTCTAGAAGTATCCACTTTGGTCCATGAGCTTTGGCTGTATTAAATGAGGATAACAAGGTCCAGTAACTAGCTTTATAAGATCAATGTCTTAAACTGCTTACAGCAACAAGAACATCAAGACCTTAGAAGAAAGATGGGAGGAAGAGTAGTTTTGGGTTTTTTTTGTGTGTTTTTTTAATTTCTCTGTGTGTAAGAACACATGTATGTATACATGCTGTGGTGCATGTATAGTTAGTAGATAGCTTGGAGAAGTCTGTTAATTTACAATGTATATCATGGGGATCAAACTCAGGTCTTCAGGATTGGCAGCAGGTACCTGTACCTACTGAGCCACCTTGCTGCCCCAGGAACCACCTTCCAATTAGGAGTTGGAAGAGTGAAAAGAGACTGACAGTGCAGTAAACAGGGAAGGAAGAGTCCTGCATGCCTTTGACTTCCAGGCTGCTCTGGAGACCTAAGGGGCCAGCTGCACAGACCCAGGAAGTGTCTCTCTGGGTTTTAGTGGTTACATCTAAATCAGTGTCAACTTGCTCCTTATGTTCCTGAGGACAAAGGCTCAAGACAGCCAACAATGACAGCTCCATCAGCAGCACCTCCTCTCCTGTCCAGCAAGTTTCATGAATAATCTCCCACGTTTCTCACACTTTGTCCTGTTAGCTCCTTCACAGAGTGCATTTCTGCATTTCCACCTGTCAAATCCCATAGGACAAGATCCCAAAACTGCTAACTCTACCCTTGAGATTTTTTTTTTTTTTCTTTTTCTTTTTTGCCATCCAGGGTCAAGTTACCTTCAAAAGAAAGGCAGTAGCCAAAGTAATTGGGTAGTTGAGCCTCTTCTTTGATGGCCTAGAGACCCTCGGTGAGAGGATTTATCCACAGGGAGATTTGTCATTCATCATCTCACTAACCAGCCAGAGAAGGAACTGGAAAGCTGACAAGGCAGTGAAGGGTTGGTACAGTTTGGCTAGTTCATGTACAATGTAAGTGTTTTTCTAAATGAGTGGCTTCTTTTATTTTAAGCAACAACAAAATTTAGAATGACTATCTATACAATTATATTGTACTCTGAATAAAACAAAAATGAATGTGTATGGCTAGTAATGGGGGAGGGCACAAAAAATATATCAAAGAAGAGACTATGTGAGCTCCAAATTTAAAACCTCCCTAGCAGGTAAAAATCTAACACAAACTTAAGTACATGCATCAAATTCACAACGGAGCAAGTTGAAGTAGAATGTTGTTTCTGCACTACTGACTTCATCTCCTTCAGGGTCCAACACTGTCTGCTTACACAGGGATTAACGTCATCCAAGGCAAAGCAGTGTGAGGTCTCTAGAGAATTCACCTGTCCTGTATGAGGGCTGAAGCAAAGATGTCTGATGTGAAGCTCATGGGAAAGGTACTAAGTGAGAGGGCTTAGTACCACAACAAGGCAGAAACATGTAAAATAGTTCATGCAGCCAACCTTATTTATTGAGAAGTCCTAATTTTATTGCCCATTTAATAACATGTTTGTTCAACAAACTAATTTCTCATAAAGCAAAGCACAACTTTTCTTATAAATAGTATAAATTATTTTATTTACAGAAACTTGTTACAAAACAAATAGACTATATATTTCTTCTCTTTTAAATATCCAAAGTAATTTTCTATCCCTTGACGTTTGTTCATTTCTATACAGCAGCCAACACAAAGTCCAGCTGAGATGCTCTTGATTATGTGTACACATTTATCAAACTACTCACACATTTTAACACAGGAGGATTGCTTTTATAACCAAGCTTTAAAAAAAAAAAAAAAAAAAAAAAAGCAAAATTCTTTCAAGGCCCTGCATTCACACTGACAATATGTAGTGCTCATTTCAGTGATCTGAAAAGGTAAAATGTTTTACAATAAGATGTAAAAATGATTATTTTCTTTTAAACAATGAAACTTTTAACAATCATTTTTCAAAGCCTAACTTTTCCCCGGCCTGGGACAGAATGGAGACAGACATTAAGAAACCCCTTGGCAACAGAACTCTTACAGGAGACAGCTGCCTTTATAAGTTACATTGTTTTTCAAATTAAACATTTTGTCAATGTTCTCAGAGGTACTTCTTGTATTTTTTTAATACAAAATATTTTAAATATCCTATCTTAAACTCTGTATTTCATGAGTAACAAACAGCTGCTGGCTGACAACAGTTGATAACCCTTGGTGGCACTGGGCAGTCCATTGCCAGGTAGATGACTGTGAACCAAAATGTCTTAATTTTAAAACCCCTTATAAAAAATTACCAGCCTTGATGGCTTTTAACTTCTCCCCTAAAACTTTAGAAATAATATTTAGGTGGAAAAGCAAACTCCAGAAGTTCAACTCAGCATTCAAGTCTTTAAAGAGAATCTGTCTGAGCTTCAACTAGGTTCAGGCACTTTCAGTTTTGTTTCGTTTTGTTTTCCCATTAGTTTAAACCACGTCACATACTAATAACACAAGTGTGCTCAGAGTGTTACACACACACACACACACACACACACACACACACACACACACACACACACACACAAACTAAAAGAAAAGCAGTGTGTCACTTAGTTCCATGTAGTCTATCTGGAAATCAGGCAACTGAGAGAAGCTACGCCCAATTCATCTGCATGAATCCACTCCAGAGACACTAAAAAGGACAGAGACTTTCACAGAACAGAGGCATCCCTTAACTGTAAAGGAAGCGGTTTCTAAACTATTGGCTTGGCAGTGAACCACTTCAAATTATAAAAAGGTATTTATTTTTATTAATTAATAAATAAATACTAGATGATCTCAATTGTACCAAAACAGGATATCAGAAAAAAAGACCTGTGCAAAAATACATATTTAAATATGTACAATTCATTTTTAACAAAATATGTCTTCTGAAATAGGGATACTTCCATATTTATAATAGAACAAGAAATTCCAAAATAAAGATACAAAAGTAGTTGTTTTTTTTTTTTAATAATTCTTTGTTCATCATTGCAGCACTTTTTTTTTTTTTTAAAGTTTAAGAAACTGCAGAAACTGTCAAGAATTCTATTGGAAAGAATATAAAAATTATCTTAGTTTTAAATTGACACCGAAGTCTGTCTAGAAACAATCCAAGTACTGCAAATTTGGTTTTTGCAAGTTAATCTAATTCAAAAAATATTTGTACTCCCATATTTTAAGTGGTCTTAACTGTTCATCATCATAAAAAGTAGTTGTCAGAGAAAATAAAATATCTGAACAGTCTAAACTTTAGTAGCACTGTTTAGAATATGTCTGTTTGTGGCAGGCAGAATCCAAAATGGCTTTTCCTAATCCCGAGGCTCTGTGTTACCTGGAGATATAATGAAGTTCAATTAAAACCCCAGTCTAAGAAATCAAATGATAACACTCACTAATCTAAGTCTCTACTTTATTCTGAATAAACTTCCAATTGTGGCTCCTATTCACATCTTTCGGAACAACATGACCTGTCTATAAATTCCATCATTAAAAGCAACTTAATTTATAACCATCAAGTCCCCTTGGCTCTGAGAATCAATTCTACCCACACCCCATTGCACTTGTCACCAAGTAATTACTATGTAACTGAGCCCCTCCTACCTTCTCCTCCACCACTGGGATGAACAACAGACCGGCCCTCCTAACCTGACCACACTGGTCATCCATGTTCTCTCCTTATAGCTCGCTTCTAGCGTCATCTTTAAAACATTCACTGACTGATTGCATAATAAGTGAATAAGATTCTGTTTTCCCTCCCTTAAAAAATTCAACATTTTACATTAATTTATAGTTAAAGTATCTGCATAAAGTCTTTGTGTTCTTACAGAGTAAAAGTGTAGCAATTCACATTATGAGGCTGGTAACCAAGTCTTTATTCATTCTACCTGTTGTTGACTGAAATTCCCTGAAACTCTAGTTTGTTACCAAGAACTGAAGGGAAAGGATGCACTGACTGGACTCTGCCCAGACACCGGCCAGGACAAGGAGCAGAGCCCCGGGGACCGGACTCTTTTGGCCACTCGACTGTCCTCTCCTAAGCCAGAGGACTTGGTTGTCTGTGCAGGAGCTGTGGTACTGGCCCTAGATCCTCCCCAAATTCACTGGTAGACAACTTTTCAAGCAATGTTAAACATTCTTTGGGAGTGGGGTACTGAAAAATCGTAAGAGGGATTTACATCTCACTGAAGGAAGATGGCTGTCACTATCATGAGGAAGGAGGGTGTGCGTGAGTGAACACTGCTGACCCTCACGAGCTGCTCCCCTCCCCGGGCACACCCAAGGCTCTCTGACTACCCTTCCTTGTGTCTGCTTCTTGGCCCACTTGCATCCACATCAAATCTCTAGTGGCCTGAAGGGGGCTGTGACACACACAAGGATGGCAGTCCTGAAAGCAGACACCTACACTTCTCCAAACATTTCTGAAAGAGGAAATGGGAGTAATGCCTTGGAAATATTTAAGGACATCATAATAACTTTAAAAAGGCAAATCTTAAAAAGCAGACTGAGTAAGACAATCAGCCCACTCTGACACACTGTTCAACATGAATGCATTGAGAAGAGAAGTCCGTGTCTTTGGAAATCCTGTAAGGTTTGCCCCACTTCATGATTTTTTTTCACCTCCCCAAATCCGGTGTCCCAGCTGGTTTTTCATCACCAAAACTAGTTTTCCTTGTCTCTCCGTCTTCCTTTTCTTCATTGTTCTTTATTTCTCTCCTTTTATCACACATGCTTTTGTACCATGAAAACTAAGCTTCTGAGATACTTTCAACTTAATATCCGGTTATGAGCAGCTTCAAACCAGTTCTTAAGTTTGAAGAACTTGACAAGCTTCTTATCCCACATTACTTGGAAAGGGCTTGGCTACTATGTCATGATGTATTGACCAACATCAGTATTCTATTCCTGAACACTGCTATAAAAAATCTAAAGCCAGATATCCTCTAGGAGGCTAGTCAGGATGCAACTCGCTGCCCTTTCTTTGGAAGGCCTCCAGTCTCCAGTTAAAGTGCCTACCTCCTGGAGAGTGACCTACAGGTGAGAATGTGTTCAAAAACAATTCTGGCAGAGAAAGGAGGAAGAGACAGAATGCTCTTGCCAAAACATTCTTTTGCCCAGCCAGTCTACTTCAAGAGTGGCTCCATGATATGCTGTAAATTAAAAACAAAATGGAAAAAACAAAACACAAACAAAAACTTCTCACAGATTGGTAGCAAGCAGTCCAGACCACTTTAACACTGATGAAGCAATCCGGTGGCTGAACTTGATCCAGTGTCCTTTGTGAGTACTCACGGCTACAGACACAGCTTCAGGAAATCCTTGTCAAACAGCCACAGGTTACCCTGGAGCCCACACGAGTTTACAAAGACTCAAAGGCATCGTGGGGTCCAGAGTGCAGAGTAGAGGTGTAACTTGTCTTCAAAAATGTCTGGATTATTCCTTCCAGTGGTACTGTCAGCTGTCAGGGACGTGCCTTTGGCTTTCAAAAGAGAGTGAGAAAATAGTAAGTAATTGGCTAAAATGCTGTGCTCCCAATTCTACACCAAGAGATCTCACACTGAAGCTCCCCTGACCTGCTGGGGCCAGGGAGAGGCCCTCACAGGGCCGGCCTCAAGCTTTGTAAAGACTTCCTTCGGAAAACCGGCAACAAGAGGCGCCTGCCTGGGTTTCCAGCTCTCAAGTTTACCTAGTCTAAGTGTTTTGAAATTTGTACCTTTAACGGCATTCTAGGATATTAATTTGGAACAGAACAACATGTGCTAACACACAGGTGTGGCAGTTGACACCAAGGCACTGCCCACAGCACTGGAAAGAAACTCTGCCCTTCTCATGGGGTAAAATAAGGCCTATTGGCCAAGAACAGACCGAGGGAGGGGGCACTACTACTCATTGCCATGGCTTGGGCTTCCCATATCCCTTCTGTGTTCAAAGACCAGCCAGCCTGAGCAACACCATTTTAAAAGCCGTCTCCTCAGGGAACAACAAGATGGCGTTTCTACTTTTCCAGAAACAGTGTTTGTTTTCAGACAAAATCTCTCTGTGTAGCCCTGGCTGTCCTAGAACTTAGTATGTAGAACAGGCTGGCCTTGAACTCAGAACTGCCTGCCTCTCTCTCCCAAGTGCTGCGATTTAAGATGCATGTCCCCGTGCCCACTTCTAGAGACAGCATCCTTTAAAGTGCTTTTAAGCCACGTGTTCCTCTGAGATTTTTATGCAGCTTTTTAGATCCCTCCCAGTCAGATAAAACACTATGTAAGGTTCACAATTACCTCAGATTGCAAGCCACAGGGTCTCCACAATTTGTGAAGTATAATTAAAAATAAAAGACAAAAGCATCCTCAACAGAGAAAATCTATACCATAAACTTGAGCTGCAATTGATTTTAAGAATCCAAACTTGAACTGTCTGGATCTTCCTAGTAAACAACCCCCAACCCCATATGGGAAAATTAACTGGCAGAGCATAAACCAAATTGTCCAAGATATGTAGGCTGTACTACTACTATATGTAGGGAGCAAATTTCACACCCAAGCCTAGCTCTGCAATTTCTCTTTAAACTGGTCCCATGTTGGTGGGACCATACTCCACTCCCAGATCTCCCATAAGCATTAAGTCCCTGCTGCCTCCAACACCCACCTCTACCTCCACCTCTCCCATCTGTTACTTGTGGGGAAGAGGAAGGTCTATACAAGCCCAACAGTTTAAATGAAGACTGTGCTCTATGCTGCAAACGTGGAGTTGATCTTACAACCTCTCCTGTAGAGATATCAACCCACAGGATCCACGCTCAGAGGGGGTTTAGGGGTGACTATATTTTTCCTTGCTGAGTTTGTACTTCTGCCACATGAACTATATGAATAACCACAACATAAGCAAAAGCAAAGTTCACATTTGCCCAAGTACTCCTACTCTGAAAGGCCAAACTTAAGCAGGTACTTTGAATTTAAATAGGTATCTCCCCCATTAATTTTGACACTGTCAATTCACACAAATACTGGAGCAAAGTAAATTACAATAGGAAATGCCTTGACATTTTTCCAAAATAACCCTAAGTACTTAAGTTCTGAGGATGAGGAAAAGGAAAAATAACATAAAAGAGAGCCTCACTTTTTAAGTCAGGGCTCTGGGGTGCTGCTGCTGCAATTCCTGTTCGTAAGCAAGGAGAGAAGATATCCTGATGAATGAAATAACAAGATGAGAGATGAGCTGAAGTTGGGGCAAAAGAAGCTGGAAGAAAGAACTACATGAGCGACAGTCAGAAGAAACCAACAAGAAGGCTGGGGAACAGACAAGACACAGCACAAGCAAGGCACGACTACTATGCACCCAGTGAGCCGCCTCCTAGTGATGGGCTGCACAGTACAGGTCCTCTGAACGTCTCACCTGGACAGGTTTCGGTCTTCAGCTGTGCCAACCCTGAATCTTATTTCCCACCTCCCTTGAAAGCAGGGAGGAGAAAATATGGGTGCAATTTAACTAGAATATCTGAAATTGCTCAAGATGAAAAACATTTCAAGCTCTTTTTTTTTTTTTTTTTTTTTTTTTTAAGGTTTAAAGTAATCGCTTACTAGAGTCAGTTGGTTTCAGCCTAGCTTTTTTCCTGGGAACATATTAGAACCACTGCACAGATTGAAAATGCTCCCTTCACTAACAGCGTCAGTCAGGACACCAGCTCTGTGTCCTTTGCGGTCATGCCTGACGCTTTCTTCAGGTCCTGAAGGCACATTTGCTTTATCTATTCACTAACATCTTTGAAAGGTACTAGACATTCTGTAGAGATGTTTCCCTTCAGATGGACATAGACTTTCCTTGGTTAAAGATTACCACGAAAGCTGGACATCCATTATGGGCAAACCAACCAACCCAAGCATAGTTTTCAAAGCTGGCAAAAGACCCCAACAAAGAGGCAGCAGACACCTCCAGAAGGTCAGAGTCCACGTCCTACCTGATGGAGGAGGGAATTGTTCGTCAGTCCCTGGGCCCCTGGGATGGCGCCTGTGTGTTTCATGTGGACGTTGTTCATGGCTGGCAACCTGGCAACCTTTGGAGGTTTGCTGCCACTGTTGCTGACGTTGCTAGAGCCCGGAGAGCATTTTCTTTTCTTTCCTATGAGTTTGTCTAGAGGAGTGTGCGAGTGTGAAAAACTGCCCTGTGAGTTGACAGGCAGTTCACTGGACTGATGAATGAATGGGCCAAGGGAAAGAGTGGAGTCGCTGCTATTCACCATTACACTCATCCTCTTGATGGACTCTGCAGAGCTCACACCAGGGGGACCCCGTCCTGCCTGCTCATGCCGCAGGCTCACCGAGAGGGCTTTATTTGTCACACAGTTGAGGCTGATGCTGTGGGTCGATGTTGCTGCAGACAGGTATGGAGTCCCAGAGTGAGCCACACAGTTTTTCCTAAAAGAGTCCACGGAATGAGAAGAGGAGGAGGATGACGAGGAGGATGACGAATGAACTAACAGTGGGGAATTGCTTTTGCGTTTCTTTCCTGAGCCACCACTGGTACTGCTACTGGCATTGTGACAGTTACTGCTGTTAGCATAAGATTCCTTGGGCCTTACAGACTTGCTAGGTTTCAATTTCTGAGGTTTTCTGGACAGAGGGGAGGAAGGGACTGAAGAGAGGCTGGAGGGTGTGGAGGGAGATGAGGATGAAGCAGATACTTGTCTGGATTGCATACTGCACACAGGATCCATTGCTCCAGAAACAGCAGGCTGTGCATTTAGAGTGGTTCCATGAGCTGGTACCGATTTGCTATTTGGGGAGATGCAGGTGGATGACAGCAGAACTGGGGATGTAGAGACAGTGGTTGCTGCAAAATAGCTGATCCCACCTTGTGATGTCGGCACAGAATTTGTCCGGTGAGGAATACGGGCAGAAACAGGTGATGTGCTACAGGGCACCGGTGGGATTTTCCTGTAAAAAGGAGATACCATGGGCAATAATTAACAAAGCTAGCCATGGATGGTTACAGATGGGCACCCCATTATCTTTGGCACTGAGAAACATACCCTCATCAAAGATCAATCCAAAACACAAACCCAATCCTGATGTATCTTTCCTTCCAATTCTTTATGCTTCCTGGAGTTCTGGAAACACACTGTGTATGCCTCACTCCGGTTACAATTCTAGCTTCATACCGCCACTGCTGATCTTTCTTACACCCCAAGCACATGCCATAATGCAAGAACTCCTGCATGTCCTCTTTCTGGGCCACGGCAGTTAGCTCTGGTCTCTGCTCATCACTTTAGTTTCAACTCATCACACTTCCTTAAGAAGTCTGCCCTGGGGGCTGGGGAGATGGCTCAGTGGTTAAGGACACTGGATGCTCTTCAATTCCCAGTACCCACATGGCAACTCACAACTGTCTGTAATCCAGCCCCAAGTTATTTGACACCTTCATACAAACATGCAGGTAAAACCATGTGATAGATTTTGTGAGACTGGAGGTGACTTGAATATGTGACTACAAATCACTTACTCTCTTGCAGATGTTGTAACCCACAGCTTATATACCATTTTATCCATACAGTATTCAAACACTGAGGAAATTCAAGCAAGGATGAGTTAATTAAGCAATAGGCAGGTGTGACTACTGGCCAGGACACTGCATAGGGGACTTTGTTTGGGTGGTATGAGGAACTATTATTATGTTTGTAATGTCTGGGCAAAGTACTGAGTAGGGGATGAGAGATGTTTGGAGAGTCAAACACAAGACATCCCCCTTTTATTTTAGCACTGAATTTTTAAAATGTGACAGCATAAAAGAAAACCTAATGAGCCTGATAGCAGCAAGAAAATTCAGGTGGTAACAGCTGGACATAAAGGTCCCGACAAGAGAGAAAGCTGGAAGATGACAACTGCTTGAACCAAGGGATGAAGCCATTTGGTCAAATGAGACCTGCACCTATTCAAAACAATACAATGGGCCAGCAGAGACTCTGTCCAGACCATCCTACCTTAGCCTGGATGCAGGGACCCTGGCTGATCCAGTGATGCGGGCTGAAATGCTGCCATGTGAATTCACTGCTAGCTCGAGGAATGAATGACTGTGTTTCTAAATCCCACACTGCACGTGGGCTTCTCCACTCAGCGGCACATTACAAGCACTTATGGAGCTTAAGCCACAACCATACTTACCACACAGGAAATCTCAGCATGAGCACACAGACATCAGCCAGTTCTCAAGTCTCTCTAGCAGAGCCCAAGGTGAAGCCCACAGTGAGAAGCCTGGCTCTATCCTTGTGATACTCACTGATATTACCTAAGAGATCTGCCAGAAACGTGAATTCCCAGGCCTCAGCCCAGACAACCTCAGCAGAATCTGTCTCTGAACAAGGTACCCAGGCAAGTTCTTGAGTGTAGGTTGCTCACTGGATGCAGTACCTGACTATGGCCACTGGGTGGCTCGTGAGGCTGGGACTTAAAGACTGGCTGCCTGAAAACAAACCCCAAGAAAAGATTTCTTCCATAGGCAACACGTGAACCTCTTGGAACGATATAACTGCTTCCTCTTTTAAAATATCTAATGAGCTAGATAAAGGTATAAAAGAAAATAATAAAAAGAGTACTATATGTGGAAATAGGAAGGTAGGAGATGGGGGAACTGTAAAATATCTTTGGGTGACATCTGTCCCCTGCCCTTCCAGATCAGGGGCAGGTTTCAGAGAGCACAGGAGCTTGAGATGGTCTCGAGATCCAGAGAAAGGGCTGGTGGAATTCCACTACTGTTCAGAGCACCCAGGAGCTACGGAGGATTCATTTTAGGCTCACACTCTGTCTCTGACACCCAAATTTATTACAACAACGGAAGCATAAGGCTACGAGAGTGCTGCTCAGACGGGGTCTTCTCAAAGGAAAGCGCTTCGCTGAGCCAGTGTGACAGGCCCAGGACACTGTGACAGTACCCTGCAGTGTCTCACAGAGGCCGTGAGCAGTTCCCTGGGCGAGAAGTGCTAAGCTCCCCCAGTATATTAAGGGCCATGAGAAAAGGTTGGCCAGAAATCAACTTACAGCGCTTTGGCTGCAGGAAGCATTTCTAGAACACTTATGGCTGGGTCCCAATCCACGTCCCTATCCACCTCAAGTTAGCTCATCACTGAACCACACATATTCCCCATTGCTTTACTGACTTTTAAAAACAAGTCCTGACGCTAGGATGTATGTAGCTCGGTGGGTAGAATGCTTACTGAGCATACATTCAGCTATGGGTTCGATCCACAACACCACATAAAACCAGGCATGGTGTGCCTGTAAGGCCAGCACCCAAAAGGTATAGACTAGAAGATCAGAGTTCAAGGTCAACTTTAGCTTCATAGCAATACTGAGGCCAGCCTGGGATAAAAAAAGTAGCTACTGTGAATGAATAAACCAGAGTTCATGTTAATGGATAGGAGGAATAAGTAATGAGGTGGTCATCCTTGACAGACCCTGCCAGAGCAGAAGGGCTCAATCTCAGAAACCTGCCCTTTCAGAACTCATGACTCCTGTCCACACAAACCACTAGGAACTGAAACCTACTCCATTGCTGGCTGCAGATCACTTACTGATCCAGGAAGATTAGCAGTGTGAGCAAGTGTGCTGTCCCTCAAAACGGAGGAAGTACAGGAAGAAGGGGAGAGCCACACTGGCTGCCCTCAGCCTACTCACCGCTGCTCCATCTGAGTCCTACCAACGTCATGGAGACAGACTTTCTGACTAGAGTTGAAGGCCCCAACCAGCTGTAGCTGACTATCAGGAAACCAAGCCATGAGGGCAAATGGCCTATCATCCATTCAAAAGGTGCTAGCCAATGATACCCGCATGGTGAACCCTGGATGGACAGGGGATGACTTGAGAGTCCCCTGTAATAAAATATCCCACTGAACACAAGTTTTCCCAAACATTCTTCTAAAAGACATCCCAAAGTCAAAGGAGCTTTGGAAATGTTCTTCAGTACAAAGATATCTCCTGCGCTGACAGTTGCAGCACTTAGTGCTGCGTATCAAAGTAAGCTTGCTTGACATGCTGAATTAAAGATTTTTTTTTTTTTTGGTCAAGAATCCCTTATTTTTCTTATAAGCTTTTTAGTAAATATTAGCATACACACTACTACACAAGATTTTTCAAGGGTGGGATGACACAGCTAAGTGAATGGAGTGCTTAGCTATCCTGAGGACTCTGTTCCATCCCATCACGACAAAAAACAAAAACTCCTGATGTAAAGCTACAGATCCAAGCTTGTTGTGGGATGTCTGTCCGTACGCTTGTGAATGTGTTGCTCTTATTGAATAATTAATAAGCTGTTTTGGCCTATGACAAGAAAGCTTACAGCCAGGTGGGGAATCCAAGAGAGGCACAGAGAGAAGAGGGCGGATTCGAGAGAGATGTGATCCAGCCATCCAAGAAGGAAGATGTGAAAGTACCAGTAAGCTACAAAGTCATGTGGCAAGACACAGATTAGTAGGAATGGGTTGAATTAAGTTGAAAGAGCTAGCTAATATACGCTGGATCTATAGGCCACACAGTTTATAATTAATATAAGCTTCTGTGTAGTTATCTTCTAAGTGGCTGTGGGACCGGGAAACTTCGTCTACACAAGCTCGCGACTCCTCTACTTAAACCAGCTCCCTCTGCACCCAGCAGCTCCAGTGCTGCCCGGCCCTGCTAGTCTCGTGGGCCCTGTCTTGTCATGTACTCACGCTCTTGCTGTTTCTCAAGGCATCACCTTTTCTGACTAGGGACCTTCACACATAGGTCTCTCCTCTGGAGAGAAACACTGCTCACGCCCTAGTGACAGCTCTTCCAGACCCATAGTCTATTATTTTCCCATAGAAGCTCTGTTTGGAAACAAACTGCCACCCAGCAGTCCCACCACTAACCTGTACATCTGCTTAATTAACTAAAAAAGAGGAAAAAAGGATAATCATCATCATGTAGCAAAGACTTGTACAAATTCAATAGTTAACAGTCCCCAGCATACAGCTAGCTCCCAGTAGGTGTAGTGGTGACTGTTTCTTCCAGTATCTCTCTGACAAGCTGTAATCTCTACTGTTGACTCATTTTTGTGTCCCTACTGACATGACGAGGTCCTTACGTGCGGGAGTCCTTCTACTTTGAGCCCAGAACAAGACGTGGTTGCTGAGAGTGAATGAATATATGAAAGAGTAGTACTTCCTTCCTACAGCTAGCTAACGGCAGAGTCTTAAAAACAGAACTGAGGTCACCAAGAAAATGCAGCCCTGGGACAGGTCACCTCACCACCACCACCACAAGGCACTTACTTCCATAGCTGCGCATTCAAATGCTTCTCTACCATGAGGTTAAGGGCACAGCGAAGCCGGTTCCACCTGGAGTCAAACACGTAGTAACCTCTTCCAATCTGCCGGCTCCCAAATGTGCAAAACTGAAAGAGAGCAGAGTGTCCCTGCGTGTCACCTCTGCTGCCAGCACAGGGGCCAGGGGTCTTTCACATTTAAGAAAGAAACAAGACACCACAGAAAAGACAGCTGAAATGCCTTGAGGACCAGAAGCTATGAGACATGAGAGCAACAATGCCTAGCACTCAATTTTGAGGAAGGAAAATATGAGGGGCCCAGGATAAGTACATCGCACTCTAAGGTGCTCCATGGACAGCCCGGCCAGGGCTCGGCCACCACCGCTCAGTGCCCTGTCTATCTATGCTGCACTGGGGAGGCCACCACAGTGGATGCAGAACTTACCGATGCTGGCTGAGGATGATGACCTGAATAATGACAGTCCAGTTTTTCAACAGACTCTTCTTTGTCATCGCCTTCACCCTCCTCACTAGACAACCGAGAAACTGGCTCAGTGGCAGGCAAGGGAGGGTGTGGAGACTCGTGGCCTGGAGGAGGGTCAATGGGGGTACTCCCGCTTTGCTGAGCAGGGCAGCCTGGAGGCCTGAATGAGGAAACAGCACAGCACGGCTCAGAACAGAAGCACAAGCTGGTCATCAGCATCCTTAACTCAGACACATATCTAAAACCACAGAGGACAGAGGAGAGGAAGCAGGTCCACCAGCCCTGAGGCAGCATGCTGTGTGTGTGTGTGTGTGTGTGTGTGTGTGTGTGTGTGTGTGTGTGTGTGTGTGTGTGTGTGTGTGTGTGTCTCTGTCTCCGGGGGGGTGGAGGTGGGGTAGGGGGTGAGGGCAGGTGGGCATGTGAAGCAAGTCCATCAGCTCTAAGGCAGCATGCTGACTCTGTGTGGGGTGGGGCTTTCCTTAGCATCTCAGTTCTAAGGTTAGTGTCTGGCAGATACAGCCAAAGGCAGCTGTAACTGTTCTTCCCCTGGGGCCATCGGGGTCCAAGCCCTTCTTCCACTCTCCCTAAAGAACAGGGACACGTGTGAAACCTAAGAGGATTCTTTCATTGCTACTCTTCACATTTTCAAAGTATTTTAAACAATATCTGATTTGTAATTGGCAAAGTACTCTAGTATAACCTAAAGGGACAGAAGGAGAGGAAGACTGAAGTCTCATCACTGCTTCCCCAAGGTCAGCCTGGACATCATTACTCAAGGGTAATGATATTTCTTCCTACATCTAGGATAGCCAGTGGTTTCTAGGCAAATCTTACTTCAGATGAAAAATCTTCATTGAGAAGATGCCAAAGAAAGAACGCGTAAGGAATTTTGGTCTGAGGCCTGACTGTCTTCTTGGAAGCCTCCACTGACTTCTCTACACCTTGTTTCTAACCACAGGGCTCATGCTGGGCTGCTCTGACTTGGCCAAGTGTACACTTAGGTTATCTAGAGGAAGATGTGTCTACCTTAACGGAGTCATCCCAAGGACCAGATACAAGAGGGAAAAAATTCAGCAGCAGTAGCCAGGGGCTGGCACACCAGCAGAAGCCCTGTGGCCAACTGCTAAAGCACACACTGCATCCTCACACCTCAGCCCTCCCCCGACCCTTCTCTGGAAAAGGGTCCAAAGTCCTGTACTTCAGCTTCGTTAAACAAGCACACATACATACCGCCATCACTGTCTGAGTTATGAACACAGTAAATTCTTATTAAATCACTCTGACCCACTGCTTTCTAGGCTGCTAAAATGCCTACTTGATGTTGAAGACAAAGTCCCACATTGAGTAAATGAAAATCCATGTTGATAAATAGATGCTATTAACGCTATATGCTTGTCTACAAGATTTCTCACTACTTTAATTTGCAAAGAAAACCTAAGAAATAAATGGCCAAAGCCATCTGAAACATTCCTACTAGGAACCGGAAGGCAAGACCCCATCTCAGCTCTGCTTATCAAGAGACCAGGCACAGGACCACCGCAGGGCAGGCACTTCTAACTTTACACTAGTGTTTGCATTTAGACCTAGGAGCCCTTGTCAAAAGTTATTGAAGACTTCAACAGTTTTTACAGTAAAACCCAATTTTAAAAATGCCAACTCCTACTGTGACAGTGGTGTAGACTTCTTGATGGCACAGCTGTGCAGGAGATGGAGAGGTACATAGGACACAGGGTGTCTAGACATCCATTCCCTGAAGGCTTGGCTTACCTTGGAAGACTAGGGGTATGAGGTTTCGGTTTACTAGCTACGAAAGGCTTTGCTTCTGAAGAAGGGTGTGGTTCCTGTGGCGTCCGAGGAGGGATAGGATGCGGGTCCCTGAGAGGATGTGGTGGTTGCTGAGAGTCTGGATGGCGAATCAATTCCTTTTCCCTGGTTTTGTTTTTGTGCTCGGCCAGTAACACATCAAATCGTTTTCTTCTACCCTGAACAGCTCTCCGCTGGGTTAAGGAATGTGTCTACAACAGACACACGCAAACAAAAACAACAAACACAGAAACCGAGGAATTTCAATAAAAAGTTTAATATGCTGTATATCCCAAGCATAACCCTGTAAAAAAGCATGCTATAGCTTTCAAAGATGAGATGTCTCCACATTTACTAAACGGAAATCTCTTCAGAGAAGCTGGAATCACACTCTAGCTTTAACCATACCAACTTGGGCATGCTATGCCTCCTGCGGAGAGCAGCAGCACTCCGTGTTACCAGGACAGGCACGCATGCTTTGTGCCATTAAAGCAACTCACGGGCTCTTAGGAACTTCATTACATGTACAGCATTTTTTGAGTAACTGAGGACAAAAATTAAACAAGGCTGCTTTTCTCTGCTCTAGCAAAATAAGGAATGGAGAGAGGGGCTCAGAGAATCGTGAAGACGGCCTGGGGCAGCCAAGAAAGACTGAGAAAGAGAAGAACGCAAGGCAGAAAGGGAAAGAGCTGTGAACAGGAGACAGAGCGCAGTAGCCACCACAGACACACAATGGCATCTGGCTCTCATGAGTCCAGTCAGTATTTCAGAGACAGGAGATAGGCACACAGAGGATGTGGCAGTTCTGGCTTTAAAAAGGTGACTAATATAAGCCAACTCTTGATCACATCTTACAAGAAAACACATTATCAAATGCACTTGGTCCTCCATGTGTATGCTGTGGTACTCACACACAAAAATGTACCCAAAAATAAATGAAAAGTTTAAGAAAAATAAAAGCAAAGCCTCTCACACTGGTACAGAGTCATGGTAACTCACATAGCATTTTATTAAATTGGGATTTTTTTTTTTTTTTTTTTTTGTCACAAGTAATTTATACAACCCAGGGACCCAGAGAACACTGGCTCCCTATGGGTTAAGAGAGCAGTGGGAAAGTGATGGTACTAACAGCCCTGTATACACCAGCCCTGACTTCAGCTACAGAAAGCACCTACCTTGCAAGTCAAAGACCTGGTGCAGGGCTTCTTGGTATCCAGATCAATGACCCCGCAGTGGATGTCAGGATCAAACTCTCTTTCTGCCAGGAGCACACAAACGTTATTGCAGTAGGTGTACCAAACCCATCCTTCATTGTTTAAATAAGAGGAAATCTCAAGGCAGACAAACTAAAGCAGTAGGAAGTGCCATGTTATTAATGAATACACTGCAGATGAGGTTTGAGCATTGTAATGACATTATTATCCTCACTGAAAGGCTACAACTACTACCAGATGCCTGAAAAAACATTTACTTATTTTGCATAAGAATATTTATATTCAGAAAAATCTTGAACAAATTTTCATTACAGCACACAAGTGTGTGCACACACAAGCAAGCATGCTCTTTAAAACTAAGAGTAAAGATGGGTCCACCCTGAAGGACTCTCTCCCCATGGCTCAAGCTGACCAGCTTTAAGAAGGCCTTTCATTTACAGCCTGTGCACACCCAACTTTCTATAGACAGCTTAAGAGAGAGCTGTAATGTTACCTGATAATCTCTTATTTAAAAACTTCCTGTTATTAGAACCGTCTTCCGATTTCTTTTCCAGAGTGGGCGTTGCAGGCAGCCCTTTGCCATTCAGAATCTGTCCAGGTGAAGGCAAGGTTGGCTTTGGTATTGAGGGGCAGTTAAGGCCAGGCTTGACTGCAGAGCTCACAGGAGCAGGACAGGCTGGCCCCACTGTGGATTTCAGTAGTGTGCCATCCATCTTCGGATGTGTCCTTTCCACCTTCACAGAGGGCGCCATGCTGTTGTAGGGGAAGTGAGAACCAATCAACAAGTGTCCTGTTCATTCCAAAGGGATGGAAGCAGAGACTAGCTCTACCTGAGTATGCACAGGTCTGGGAATGCCCTTGTACATTTTGTTTGAACCTCTAAGAAAGGTGAATGGTGATGTTCACAGCTCTTTTGACAAAAAGCCCAGTGGATAAAACTGACCTGTTTCAGAAACATTTTCCCATGGGCTGACCAATGGGGAACTCAGACCTAAGAGTCAATGCAGTTTCTTTTCTTTTTTTCTTGTTTTGGTTTAACAAGTGTTCATTTACTGATTAGTGGGAATACAGTCCATCAGAACACATGGCATGCACTTGGGGGAGAATCGGATCAACTGCACCGCAGCCCTTCAGTGAACCTGCTAGTCAATGCAGATCTGAATCAACTGTGCACTGCAGCCTTCAGTCAACCTGCCGGTCAATGCAGATGCTGCAGGCACAACATGAATGCAGCATTCTAGAAAGGACCAAGATGACACCACAGAATCCAAGAGAATACCTCACAAGAACTCTCACTTTAACAAAGGGAATTATTAAAACAAACACGACTGAGTACATGTCACTCAAGTCTGCAGCAACTGTTTCTGCCAACAAGGAAGAGTGCTGACTCAGCACACGGTGCTACCAATCGGGTTCCCCAGTCCCTGAGCTCAGGCTCCGAGGACGTGAGCTTAGGGTAGACACACCTCGCAAGTGGTGGGTGAACAGGGAGACCTGTGCCACTAACAATTTCTCTTACGTTCCAAGTGACACTGTCACTTTGTTTCTTGGTAAAAATGATGTCAACAAATCCTAATGGTTCACACGGTCCCCCTTCTAAGCCTTCACATGACAATGGAAGTTTGGTGAGTGCAGGCAAACTCTGGTGGAGTCTGGACTCTAATAGCCATTAAGCTGGCAAGTGACTTAAACACTGCCCTGCTATTGTTTGTTTGTTTGTTTGTTTGTTTGTTTGTTTGTTTGTTTTTTGGCTTTCAGACAGCTACAGAAGTGAAAGCCAATTTCCCATGCTCATTCTCGATAAGTTGAGGCTGGGGGCTCAGCCACAAGGATAAACAGCGGTGAAGAGCAGCTGTATGTGTGGTAGCCTGGCAGCAACAAAGCTATTGCCAACTGTTCTGGGCTCTCTCAGCTGGCAAGACTCTTGAGTAACAGCAGGTAATGGACTGTTTTCGGGGATAACCAAGGGTATTAGATATTGGGAATGAATGGATGGCATACCCTCCCAAAGGAAAGCAGCCAAAGAAAGGCTGAGAGCTATCACGACAGAGCAAGATGTTTCTGTCAGTGTAGACTGCTGCTCCTTCAAGTGGCCTCAAGGAAGCTCCCAGGCCCAGACCCCCTCCGGAAGCTTGTCAAAGCCACAGCAGGCAAGTGAGAACTACTTCCAGTCTTTCCTCCTCACGCCGGCAGGAAACTGTTTTGTTGAAGACCACTGGGGGGTACTTCATTTTTTCTTACCTCTACTATTAGCACCAGAGGCAGCAGAAATGTCAGTGGCCACTCACTTGCTGTCTCCAACCGCTAAATGTACAAAAGTCAGGTGCCTGGCAGATCCTAAATACCTCCAACCCCACAGTGGCTGACGCCACAGACTCACTTCCACCAGGAAGGAACCGAAGCAGGATTTGATCCCAGACATATATGACTTAAAGGCCTTCTGATATAGAGCATCTCAACCTGTGCTTCCTTTTCCCTTGTGAAAAAAGGGATAGCAATACATAATTCCACAGGGGCGTTATAGTCAATATATGACATCACAAATACAACTCACACAGGAAAAGATCAATAAATATTACCAGCCATATTATTATTGTGATAACTAACTTGAATAGCTTCCAACACAAGGTAGGGAAACAGAAACAGTTAACAGTGTCCTTGCCCCCTCCCCCAAGTGAACTCTTTACGATGACTCACAGGCAACCCTGGATGGCGCCTACACAGGATTCATCCTAGCAGCCAAGCCGTACTTACACTCTACCGTGGGGGACTTTAGTCTGTTGCATGGGATGCATGGGCCTGATGTTCCCCCTGAGCTGCAGTTTCTCTTTGGGTAATTTGAGTAACTTGGAGCTTGACGAGGATGTGCAAAGGACCCCTCCACTGGAAGACCGGCTGTTTCCACTGGCACTGCTGCCTTTGCTTTTGGACAGAGAAGGGAAGAGGGAAAATACTGAAGTGTGAGGAACAGTCAAGGAAGGCTTGCTAGATGAGCTATGTCTTCTTTCTGAAACAGAAACCAAAGACAAAAAAAAAGAAAGAAAGAAAGAGCATGTTTCAGGTAAGCCTCAAATGGAGAGCTGAGCCAATTCTTTGAAATCAACACACATTTATATCAAAACATAAGTCATCAAGTAAAGCATGCTAAATCCAGCAGAGGTTTTTGTTTTGTTTTGCTTTTCAAGACAGTTTCTTTCTTTTCCCCCCCTAAAGACAGGGTTTCTCTGTAGCCCTGGCTGTCCTGGAACTCGCTCTGTAGACCAGGCTGGTCTTGAACTCAGAGATCCCTGGCCTCTGCCTCCCGAGTGCTGGGAGGGCACCACCACCGTCCGTCAAAACCAGCAGTTGAAGAAAGCTCTTCTTATGCAGGCCCCACAGCCTACCTAGGACAGTCCCTCTGTTTCCAATGTATATTAACATAAAAGGCTTACCATGTTAACCCATTTGGAAATCGAACAATCATTCTAAACATGAGCAGAGCGCCTTGTGGGTCTCGGACACAGCAATTCACACTGATAGGAAACTATCTGCTCACCTGCAAAACTCTGTTAACTGACACTGACTGGGTGCCTTCATCCTTTCTAGCACTCACAATACCTCTGATTCTCAGAAAAGGAAACTGTAAAAAACTCACCCACCAAGCAACCTATGACACCAAACAAGAATGTTTCTAGGACCATCTTATCGCTCCCTAAGAATCTGTTAAACTTTTCCAGTCAATCTTTTCAAACCCCTCCCACCTTTTTAAAAATAATCTCACGACTACAGATGGCATAACTCTGCTTCACACCACTAAGATGCCAAAGACTAAAGACAAAAATATCATAAAGAGCTACGCCTGTTTCTTTTTCTTCTTTTGAAACCAGGAAGTAATTTATGAGTAAGTACAGTCTACAAAGGTGTAACTGAGAATAAATCTACCTACCTGAATATAAGGTTTTCTGAGAGTAGATGGAAACTACTGTAAATCAAGAGCTACTGAAAATGCTACCATAAGAACACAGTTAGTCATTTGATAATGCTGTTTGAGGACCCTGTGGTAGTAGTTTAGTAGCAGCCTTTAACTCAGAATTTAAAACCACGGTGTCTTAATTTAAGGATTTTTATAAGATATGCGAACCATCAAATTAACAATATGGAAAGCCGTAGAGATACTTAAAACACTGTGTTGGAATCAGTGACTACAAGCATCATTTAAATAGCTAATTTCCAAATCTTCTTGTCTCAGTGAACCTATGACTTCCAAAGGGCTAGTGGCTCTGTAGTCTTTTTTTTCTTTATTTGAGGCAGGGTTTCTCTACCTTGAACACAGGATCTTTCTGCTTCTGCCTTCCAAGTGCTGGGATTAAAGGCGTGTGCCACCACTGCCTGGCTAGTTCTGTAGTTTTTACCAAGTACTTCAGGGCCAGGTTCCCATCAAGACAAATGATGCTAACAACCAGAAAAATGCAAATTCTCCAGACCAATGCCATGGATGCTACAACTGAGTGAAGAGGCTAAACCGAGAGCCAACTGCTCTCACCCCCACTCCTGCCCCATGAGACTTAGGTGTACAAGGAGGAACATAAGCTCAGTTTAACACTTTCTCCTCTTTGGTACCTAGGCTGTTCTGCTCTGACTTTAGTTTTCTTAGCTTGGAATGGCAGTGCTTGGTCCCTACACAGAAGGCTGAGGAAGGCTGAAAGCCAGCCTAGGCTGATGACTAGACCAGTACTAACTGCACAATGCCCCACCACAGACAGACTCAGACAGACAGACAGCTGTGAATGCGCATAGACACACATTAAAAACAAGGAAATGCAGTTCGGCTACAGCCACGGCTCAGGTTCTAAGTTCAACTCCTAGCATTGCAAATCTATTTAATTTTTAAAAAGTCAGAGACCAGTCAAATTTAGCCCTTCTCTTCTGTTATTCCAAAATGCTCTGAGCATGTACCCAAGCTTCAGCATTTTTCAGCAACAAGTGTAAAGATATATTAATAGTTTTGCCACCTGCCCAACATAGCACGCATTTCCAGGAGCCCTGTCTCTTACCCAAAAAATAGGCCTTCAGTTAACATTATTAAGACTAGTACAGCTTTTCTTTGGATAAGACTATAGTCGCCCAGGGGTTCTCAATCTTGGCTATACCAGCACGATTCAAAGAGCTTTCAAAACGCTCATGAGTCTGAACATGGTGGCTGTACCTGTAAGCCAGACTTGGAGAGGTGGACACAGAAGGATCAAGAGCTGCAGGATGGCCTCACATTCAAGGCTAAGTAAGACTGAATGCAAACACAGGGTAGAAGATGTGAAGAAAAAAGGTGCTGCTGTGGTAAGTTGGTTTGATTTTTTTTTTCTCTTCTCTGAGTATTACTGAGAAGGGAGAGCCCTCAAGAACAGGCCGCTCATGATAAAGATCTATGAATAACGGCTATCCAAACCAAGAAATGTGCAATTCACAACATAAACACACACACACACACACACACACACACACACACACACACACACACCCATAAAAAAGCAAGTCAACAAAACTCCTCTAAAGGATTGCTACCAATCAACTACTGAATTTAAAAAATACTAAAATGGGCACAATGTTGCAAGATGTAAAAGTGTATTAAGAAAACGAAGAAGAAAATGTCAATAAAATAACATTTTCAGAAAAGAAAAGGTAATTAGGGTACTGCAATTGAAAGAAGAATATAGAAATGCTGGAAATGGGCATCACCATCCCTAACATCAAGCTCTACTATAGAGCTATGGTAATAAAAACAGCTTGGTACTAGTATAAAAACCGACATACAGACCAATGGAATTGAATTGAAGACCCTGACATTAATCCACACATATATGAACACCTGATTTTTGACAAAAAAGACAAAACTATACAATGGAAAAAAGAAAGTATCTTCAACAAATGGTGCTGGCATAACTGGATGTCAATATATAAAAGATTACAAACAGATCCATATCTGTCACCATGCACAAAACTCAAGTCCAAGTGGATCAAAGACCTGAACATAAATCCAGTTACACTAAACTTAATAGAAGAGAAAGTAGGAAGTACTCTTGAACGCATTTGCACAGGAGATCACTTCCTAAATGTAACACCAGTAGCACAGACACTGAGAACAACAAAGTAAATGGGACCTCTTGAAACTGAGAAGCTTTTGTAGGGCAAAAGACACGGTCAATAAGACAAAAAGACAACCTACAGAATGGGAAAAGACCTTCACCAATCCCACATCTGACAGAGGACTAATGTCCAAAGTATATAAAGAACTCAAGAAACTAGACATCAAAATACTGAACAATCCAATTAAAAAATGGGCTAAAGAGCTAAACAGAATTCTCAAAAGAAGAATCACAAATGGCTGAAAGACATTTAAAGAAATGCTCAATATCCTTAATCATCAGAGAAATGCAAATCAAAACGACTCTGAGATACCACCTTACACCTGTCAGAATGGCCATGATCAAAAACACCAATGACAGTCAATGTTGGAGAGGATGTGGAACTCGGGGAACTCTCCTCCACTGTTAGTGGGAATGCAAAATTGTACAGCCACTGTGGAAATCAGTATGGCAGTTTCTCAGAAAATTGGGAATCGATCTACCTCAAGACCCAGCTATACCACTCTTGGGCATATACCCAAGGAATGCTCAATTGTACCACAAAGTTACATGCTCAACTATGTTCATAGCAGCACTATTTGTAATAGCCAGAACCTGGAAACAACCCAGATGCCCATCAACTGAAGAATGGATTAAGAAAATGTGGCATATATACACAATGGAGTACTGCTCAGCAGAGAAAAACAATGACATCATAAAGTTTTCAGGCAAATGGATGGAACTAGAAAATATCATCCTGAGTGAGGTAACCCAAACCCAGAAGAACAAACATGGTATGTACTCACTCATAAGTGGATACTAGATATAAAGCAAAGAACAATCAGACTGCAACCCACAGAACCAGGGAGGCTACTTAGCAGGGGGGACCCTAGGATGACTGTGGCTTAGAATAAGTTTTGGTTTTACTCACTTACTGGGCAAGCCTTAATCAAACATTTCACTATTAGGGTAAGAATTTATACTGTATCAAGGGGCTGGAGGGAAGGCTCAGCAGTTAAGAGCACTGCTTGTTCTTCCAGAGGTCCTGAGTTCAATTCCCAGAAACCACATGGTGGCTTACAATTACTTGTAATGAGATCTGTTGCCCTCTTCTGGTCTGCAGGTGTACATGCAGATAGAGCACTGTATACGTAATAAATAAATAAATAAATCTTTAAAAAAAGATTTTATACTGTATCAAACTGATAATAGAAAAATAAATAAATAAATAAATAAATAAATAAATAAATAAAATGGGGGAAAATAAGTAAATAAATATTAATTAAAAAAAAAGAAATGCTGGAAATGAAAAATACAGTGGAAAGTATTACTATGGACTTGATCAGGAAATAAAGATGACATTTAAACGATAAAGAAAAAAAACTAGACGTCAACTAGGAAGAGCTGACCACACATCTAAAACATCTGGACATAAACAAGAGATCACCCCTAAGAGTCCATGAAAGCACTACAGAAATGAAAGAAGAAGTCATCGACTTCCTAACACAAAAGTATTTAGAGCCTAAATAGACGTGATCATAGAATCAACTCTCCCACAAAATACTATGTAAGATGTTAAAAATCACAAAAGCAAACAAACAGCCAGCACCAAGGGGAAAATGCCAACAAAGGCAAACACTCCAAAACAATATCTTACCTCTCATAAGCAGCTCCCAAACTCTCTGCAGGAGGCAAGAGGCTTCTTTCTTTTTCAAAGATGTAGTTTTAAATGTTTGTTTATGTTTGGATGTGTATGCCACGTGTATGCAGATGCCTGCAAAGTGACACGTGGTTGTGAACTACCCAACATGGGTGCTGGGGTGATACTTGGCCTCTAGAAGAACAGCAAGAGCACTCAACTGCTGAGCCATCTCTCTTGCCCCTTATGCAATATATTCCCAAATTTGAA